CCCCAAAACCCCAAAACCCCAAAACCCCAAAACCCCAAAACCCCTAATCTTTAATTCAAACCTGAATTTTGTTATAAAATTAGGATTAACGATCAAATATGAACTATTTACGAAATTTAGTGATGGGGAAGAAGACCAAGGACCCTATTAAGCTACTTAAGAATCATTGGAAGACCTTTCACAAAGGCTATCATTCTATGATAGAGATACAAAACCCAGGAGTTGCTCTGAAGATAATGCATTCAAGTGAAGTCAAAGGCGCACTAGCAGGAATCATTCAGATCTATATCGAAGAAGAAGCTAAGGGTAACTTCATGGCTGAACATCTTGAGATTATCGAGATGATATGTGGTTATACAAAGATGGACAAGCCCAAAGGATTCTTTAAACTTGGGGTTTCCAATATTACCAAACTTCTTACTGAGATTGAGAATCCTTCATTCTTATCTCATTGAAAAATAGCGCCAGGAGTTAGGCAGCTCATTGAGATCATCAATGCATTTATCAAGGATAAATATGATGAATTTCAGGAGTATAATATGGTGATGATCGACTTTTTACTAGTGATCATGGACTGGATCAATCGCAAACCATTTCTTCTCGACTTGTTTCGATCGTCTGAAGATCTGGAAGGAAGCAATCAGCTGAAGTGCGGTTCTTCTTTTCTCCCACTAAATATTGGACTCAACTTGTTGAAAGAAATAAATCCTTTGGACAAATGAGGACTTTTGCTTAAAACTCTTCAAATTATTCGACTATGTAGCAAATTGTTTGATCAAAATGGGAGTGCTGTGATAGGCAAGCTTGCACAAATTTACGAATATCTACCCAAAAAGTTGAAGAACCAAAGCAAGAATTCTACACACCAAATCTTTGACATTGAGAAGCAAATAAAGGTGTCTGCTAAATCTCTATCAGAAGTAGCTGAGTATCAATGAGCATATGCGAACTTCGTATCGTATCTTGAATTCTTGGATTCTCTTCTTTATTGTTTGGACAACGATAAACTTATTGATCATCTTGCAAATACTTTCTTCAATGAGTTCTTGATTAAATGAATGCAGGAGAGTCTTCTTGACAACATAGATTTCATAAAATACACCACTACATTACAGTACTTTATACTGATTCTTCAAGTGATGAAGCATCCGAAGATCATTAGAATAATGTTTAATTTTATTTTTGGGTTCATGGAAGATGAGATTCTTGATAGTGACCAACAGAGCTCTGGCCAATTCGATAATATCAACCAAGGTCATGATCTACCTCTCGTAATTGACGGCCAGCATATTGAAATGATACAGCCAATGGAAGTTGGAGGTATACTCAAATATTACTAATTTTTAGGAAACCAAGAAAATGATATTTTCTTTGAAAAACCAATTGAAGACAGCAACAATAATATTGAATCTAATAGCTCTTCATTCAACAGAGGTCCTTTCATGCCTGTAGAGAATATACAGGATTATAGTGGCAATCAAGAAATGTTAACTAAACCAGCCCCCACCCAGAACCTGATTGTTGATAGCAGCACCGATAGTGAAGGGGAAGGAAATGACATGATGAATATCGGTAAATTTCGACAATAATATCTTTAGAGGAAAATTATGAAGATCCCTTTGGAGATGACGATGATTCTAACTCAAAAAGAACCTTTGACCCTACCAATTGAAACTTTTATGCACAACAAAATGAATTATCTGAGGGATCAATTAACTTTGAAAAGTGTGATCCTAGAAGCGAGGGTGCTATGAACGTTTATTCAGATTTAATCTCATCTAGTAAACATGACCTAGGTACTTAAATATCTCTTAATATTCTAGAAGAGGAGCAAATAGAGCCATTTGCCACCCAGGATGTGAACTATTATCAAACAAACCAAAATATGATCAATAAGCTTAATGAAGAAGGATTCTTTGTCAGAGAGGAATCAGAAGATGATTTCCAAGTCTGTAAGATTGTGCATGAGAATCACTATCCCATTACCTTAAGCTTAAGAGTAATCCTAAAGATTAGCAACAGAAAGGAGAATGCTTCGCTCATTACATTGAAATTGATAGATCTCTTCTACCAGAAGGGAAACGAAGAAATGGTTGAAAGGCTCTTGCTTAAATTTCTTTCTGAGAAAGTTTTTCATAAATTTTCTTTTGAAGAGATCAAGAAAACTGTCTATGAGCAAAAGCCAATAGAATCTATTAAGGAAATCCTGACAACTGGTGGGATAATCTTTGAAGACCAAGAACTTCTTCCTTACAGAGTTGAATCAGGTAGGACAGTCAATGAGTCTTTAAGCTTGATAACTTACAATGAGATTGACCCTCTTGGAGATTATGAAATTTCTGAGAGTAAAGAGTACAAGAAATATGAAGGAAAGTTAGACCAAAATCCTGAGAAAGACCATGACTATTCACTTGATATGATCTCCGAAAGATATACGATGCATGACGGAGAAACTACAACTTCCTCTCCTGAAGAATGACAAGTCCCTCTGAATGACTCTGATAGCGAAGATGAGTTCATTTATGATGAAGAAGACGGATATGAATTAAATCAACTTACCAGTCGAATTAGTGAACCAGAGTCTTGGGCTAGCATGAGATTTGAGAATGAGACAGATAGGTCTTGAATAGGTGGTAAAAGTAGGCTTGAATCTGGCAAGTTGTTCATGCTTTTATGTAAAAAGTTTACCAAGTTTACTTCAAATTCAGTTACTGAGAATCTCTTTCTAACGAGTATTTTCACGAAATTGCTATCTATCCCTCTATCTGATGAGAATCCATACACTTTCTACCTGCACACATTTATGTATTGTCATTTGAAGAAAATCAGAATCTGAATGATCAACAGTCTTAAGCAGATCAGTGAGACTTTCAGAAAGGTCAAAGAACAAGTACAGGACTTTGAGTGTGTTAAATTCCTCGCAAAGAGAAAACTTGGCTTCATCGATCCTAATCACGACCTAGCTCCTGGAGAGATAAACCAACTCGAAAAGCAGTATGGGTCACAAATAGATGACTCAATTTCCAACATAATTCTTTTCGAGGAATTTCTGAAGGAGTATATCGCCATTTTTGAGGCAAAGAAATACCTAATCGATATGGTTCAAGAATTTGAGAAGCAGAAAAATCAGGATCTTTCTCTTGACCAGGCGATATCGAGATTAACAAAGCCTATTATGAAAGAATAATAAAATTCAATTCTGAAATTAAGCATCGGGGTTTTGGGGTTTTGGGGTTTTGGGGTTTTGGGG